TGAGATCTAAAACTGAGTATCAGTGCAGCTAGATAGCAGTGTGTAACGCAGCAGGTCTTTATCACATAGTACAGTTCTGCCCACGGTGCAGGAATGGGAAATGCCTGTTATGGCAAGATGGAAAGGATTCTTGTACTCTGAAAAAGTAAATGTAGAAAACGGGGGTGGGAAATGGAAATTGAAGAGGAGCCATTGCAGTTAATTGCTGAACTCTTTCATAGACAGGAATTATATCCCTTTCCTGGGGAGCAGGCAGTAATGAAATTGATAGCATTTATCAGAGAAAAGCAGATGCAAAGCGAGTGAACAAACTTCTTTAGGCCTCGCTTCACTTTTTAAGTGCTGTTAGGAGGAGGTTCTGGTGCCACTGTGCCAGTTGAAGGGGGAAGATTGTTCCTCTTTATCTCTCTGCCCCATCTCCATTTCCAGACTGAAACTGGTCCACTGATATCAAATGCTAAGATCTGAGCAAATTATAGCTGAAATGTCAAGTCAGCCTGCCCCTTCTTGAAAGTGAGCAGGGGGGACGTTTGTGGCCATGTGGCAGGTTGTTGCTGGGTGTGGGGGGAAGCGTGGCCTGCCCTAGTGTGTAGCATACTTTTACCAGGAACATGAGCCTTAACTGCTTATCTTCTTCATACTGGCCAAAGTTAAGGTAGTGCCTTAAGGCACCGCTTTGTCATTTGAGAGTACAAGGTGTAAATGCTTTCCTTGTGGGGTGTGGTTTTTTTGTTTGTTTTTTTTTTGCTAGGATGTTGACCTGGATTTCCTAGCTAAGATGACCAATGGCTTTTCGGGGGCTGACCTAACAGAAATTTGCCAGCGTGCCTGCAAACTGGCCATCCGAGAGTCCATTGAGAGTGAGATCAGGCGAGAACGTGAGAGGCAGACCAACCCTTCTGCCATGGTGAGTGGGGCACTCTGAGCTTTCCCTACTTATGAGATAGGCAGCCCACTGCCCGTGGGTGAGGGATGATGAGTTTTTCTCAGTAATCCTCAGATGAGGACGAGTAGGCTGTAGGCTCTTGGCACAGAGTGCTGAGCTGGAGCACTTTGTTCTCTTCTTGTGGGAGGGCGAGGGCCTCCTATGGTGCCTCGTCACTGGCATTGCTCAGCAGGCCCCTGCAGCAGCTGTGAGTCAGTCTGCTGCAGCATCCCCCTCTAGCCCCTGTCTCAGTGGGTATTGATGCATCCTGACCCAGAGGGAGGTGTGGGCAGGTGCTGAGCTGCACGTGGCTCATCTCAGCTCTCCGTCCTGCTGCAGGAAGTGGAGGAGGATGACCCGGTTCCTGAGATACGCAGGGATCACTTTGAGGAGGCCATGCGCTTTGCTCGCCGCTCTGTCAGTGATAATGATATCAGGAAATACGAGATGTTTGCACAGACTCTACAGCAGAGCCGCGGCTTTGGCAGCTTCAGGTAACGGAGGGAGGCGGGGAGGGCAGAGCGAGGTGGTTAGCCCCAGGAACAGAGCGCCGAGGGCATTTTTGATGTACTCTGATAACAGTCCCTCTTCCACTGCTTTTTCCCATTCTCCCCAGCGTTTACAGCCAGCTGAGCACGTGGTGGGTACAAACTGCACTGCAGGCCAGTTGCAGCTGCTCTGTTAGTGCTCCTGAAGCCCATCAGCCCTTTTTCCTTTAATGCAAGCAACATCTGGCAGCGCTGTAAGCCTTTTTATGACCTGCCATAAGACTTCACCACATTTCTTGACCTTTTCCTTCTTGGCATCAGGGTGTTGATGTGGAGGGAGGGAATTGTGCTGATCTGTGGGGAGGCTTCTGAACTGCATCTCTTCTCTTCCGCACTGCTGTGTGCAGGTTCCCATCAGGTAACCAGGGAGGCGCTGGGCCGAGCCAAGGCACAGGAGGTGGCAGCGGGGGCAATGTGTACAGTGAAGACAACGATGATGATCTCTATGGTTAACTCGCTGTCCTCAGTGGACCAAACTCCAAATCAGGCCACGTTGTACAGGGAAAATCCAACGTTAATGGACTCTCAGCTTCTTCATTCCTCAGTGAGAACAGTGTAGGTGCACGTCAGACTTTGTACAGGGGATGTTTTCTGCAAACACAAATCCAGACCGATGTTCAGTTGGGAGGCAGACAGTGAATTAACAAGGAGGGGATCCTACTTAATTTCTGAGAAATTTCTGTTCTAGTTTATGTGGCAGAATCAGCAGCTTTAGCAAAGGGTACAACGCTAGCCTGTATTAAAAAAAAAAAAAGAAAAAAAACCTACAAAAATAATAATTAAAAAAAAGAATAAAATCCCACAAAACTCTAGCCTCTAGGCTCTGGCAATTCCTTTATGTAGTACTGCCACAGCACTGGCAATACTGCCTTGTAAATCCCATGTCTCACTTGCAATCTTGAACGCTTCTCAGCTGCCTCTCTTGTGTAGCACAGCCAATATTTGTGTGTTTTCCTGGAGTGTGTGTAGTTGCTCCTTGATGCTAATGGAAGAAAGTGGTTGGGCAGTCTCTCTCCTGTGCCCCAACTTGGAAGTAAGCACTGAGTTAAATGGCAGGTATCTGGTGTTGCTTCTCCAGTGCTGGCTGTGAGCTGTTGGGTCTCTTGCTGCTTTGGCTCTTGTGCAGCAAAGGACTCCCTGCGGAATCCTCTTCTCATCAGCCCTGCTTGAAGATGGTCACAGAAGGGTTCCTTGGCTGTTCCTGAGCTTATGATGCAGGATAACCCAAATGTGGTTAGGGAATGGGAGCTTCCTCTGATGCTGTAGCAGCAGTTTTCGTAAGACTCTGCAAGGAGACTTCCACCTTTGTGGAAACAATCCCTGTGTCCCTTTGGGCTTCTGATGAAAGGTTTGGTTCTTTGCTGTGAGCCTGCTTTTTGTTGTGATTCCATGCAGTCTCAGTAGTCAGATTTTGATCCACTTCTTGTGCTTTTTTTTTTTTTTTCCCTTTCACATCCTGATCCTTGCTTTATTTTCTATTAACTGAAAAATGTGCTTCTGCTGCGCTTATTTCACATGAGAGAAGCCCTCCCTGGGCTTGGCAGCTGGTTCCTGCTCTGTCTGCGTGCTCCCTTGCTCATCTGTGGCTGGAGCCCACGGCTGTGCCTTGTCTTTGCAGATCTGAAATCAGCACAGGGCAGAGAGATGCATGCTCTTAGGTTGAACTGTCACAGCAATTTCCTTCGGCTAATTTGATTCTCCTTACCTAACTTGAATGTGCAGCTTTGGCCACCAAATGGTAGGTAGGTATCTTTCACCAGCCATCTGCATTGTCCAGCTTTGGGCTGCATTTAGCAGTGTGTGGGATGTTACAAATGGGATTACCTGTTGCACTCACCCAAAAGAGCAGTGCACCAGGCTGTATGTGATCCAGCTCTCAACTGAAGAGTGCTTGGCGTTTTGGCTGCCAGATTCACAGAAGAGCCGTGTGCTCTCAGCTACTCAGGGCTAGCAGGAATGGGATTTTTGTAGAGATGAGTAAGTAGAGACTGTGCTGGAATGAGCAGTGAAGATGCCCACAGGGTTGCTGGGGAGACTCCAGGGCGTTTTGGCCCCAAAGGCTGCCACATTTAGAAGAACTCCGTCAGATCACATGGACTTAAAGGGAAGGAAATGAGGAGTGAGGGGAATCCCAGTGTGGCAGAATGATGGGGCTATCCAGGAGAAAAGGGGGGCTGGGGAAAAACGCACCAAAACTGAGAACACTGCTTAAATAGCACAATGACCTGCTGCTGGCTGCAAGAGGAGGCCGGGGGAGCCCCTGGGAGGCTGGGCAGCGCCTGCTCAGGTGGTCTGACCTAGTTCAGAGACCCATTCCAGCACAGTGCCTGGCTGTCCTTGCACCACCCACGTTCAATGCCGTCAGGACAGCGCTGCCAGCTCGTGGGGATGTGCTGCTGCTTGGGGAAGTGTGCTGTCTGCAATCCAGGGAAGGGTAAAAGGCTATTTCTTTAGGAGCTCTTCTGGACTTATTAAAAGCCTTACCCAGCTCTGGCACTGAGCAGATTTCTTCTTCACAGGTGCTTTGGGGATGCCACCATGCACTGCTGAGCTTGGGCAGTATTGCTGGCAAATCCAGCATCGGCACTGCTGTGCACCCTGCAGCCTGGGGCAGGAGGCAGGGGGTGCTGTGTGTCCCAGTTTCTTGGAGCTCATTTCCCTGCCTCCTCTCCTAATTACAAATACTGATTAAATCCACTGAAAGGGCTGGCACCCCTGGGAACTTCTGGAGCAGTGGCTGGGGCTGGAGTAGCCCCCAGCTGGACAGAGTCTGGGAGCTTGGCTGGGCTCTTCCCATGTTGCCATGGCCAGAGCTCCCTCGCGTGGCCCTAAAGCCATGTTCAGCGCGCCCCAGCCATAAAGCTCGGCTCCACCGGGCACGAGGTGTGTGGCAGGGAGGCCCCCAATGGCCAAGGCGCTGATTTGCCGGCTGGTTTGGCATCACCCCGCAGCCTATGTTCCTGCTGCCAGCAGGGGGCAGGCGGTGGCCGTGCTCACTGCGGCTCCAGTCCTTGTTCCCATCGAGTCCCTGACCCAGCTTGCTCCGAAGCCACCAGGGGTGGACCACGGCTGCTGCTGTCCTCGGGACCAAGCTGCGGGGTTACACGCAGTCCTGGAGGGGAACGGGAGGGAAGGATTGATGAAAAGCCTCGTTTCAATCTCCTCCCAAAGCAGCTCGCTGTGGTCCTTGCCCTATCCAGGGTGCGAGGTCTCAAAGAATGGACTTCCTTGGTGGGTTGACTGCACCAATGGACAAGCAGATTTCCTGGCACCAGAGGGAATTTCCCCGGCTGCATCCTGTGCTGCTCTCCTCACCGAGCACCGGGGTTCCTCTGAGAAGAGCTGGGTCCCAGCATCACTCCAACAGGAGAGATGGGACCAGCAGGAGCCCGAGGCCCTTCCCCTGTACCTGGGGTGAGCACCTCCCACCACAACACGTACCAATGAGTTATATTTTTCAAAATATTTTTTATTTTTCTTCAATACTGACATTACAAAAAAAAAAAAAAAAAAAAAAAAAAGTTACATAAAAAAAAAAAACAAAAAAACAAAAAAACCCCCAAAACACTATAAAACATTCAGGTCTCATAGAAACTGAGAAAAACAAAGCAGCTTGCATCTGTGTGCTGACCTGTCTTCTCGCTCCATCAGTGTCCACCAGTTTTCTGCATGCTGAACTCCAGAGAGATCAGTGGAGGGAAAAGGCGGCGCGCCCCAACCTGAAGTCAAACTGGTTGATAAATTAAGTAGTGCTTTAATAATGCAAGTGCTCTATCCCCATGCCCACGGGCTGTCCTCCTGCCACGTGATGCACTGTACAGCTGTATACCTCCAGATCCCTGCTTCAAGCCAGTGATTTCCCTTCACAGAAAGGTGCCCGGGGAAGCGCCTTGGCTTTCTCCGCGCCGCTCAGGCAGGCGCAGAGCTGCAGTGGTGGAGGAGCCCGGCTGGCCCCTCCAGGGAAAAAAATGGCAAGAGGCAGAGTTGGCCGAGGAAGGTAAGAAATATAAAAATTCTCCTGATGGAAATCCAAAGATTTTAAAAAAATACAGCATTTGAAAACCAAACCACCAAGCAGATTGCCTCATGCTCCTCTCAGCTCCACCATCACACTCGGAAGCACCTCCTGAATTAGACTTCCTTGTAGAAAAATATATACACGTGCATTTCTCTACCTATTACAATCCATAAGGTTGAACTCGAACACTAGTCAAAACCACAGCTCTGCTCACGCTTGGCTCTGCTTTTGCACCCAGTCTTGTGCTACACACATTCTCCACTCTCACAGGCAGGTTGTTTGTATGGCTGAGCTGCTCCCCAACAGCGGGGCCAACCACTCCAGGAAACCCAAAACGGGCAGAGAAAACCCTTACGGAGTTACCTAACGAGCTAAATATATGTATTAAAAAATAAAGCAGCAATGCAAACTCAACACATCTGAACAAGAAAGCTCCCAGCCTGGGCAGGAGGCTGGAAGGGACCGTCCCCACTGCTCTGAGCTCCGTCCATTGGCACAGGTGACACTCGGTGGTGGTCTTGGCACAGGAGAGGGGACCGCAGTAGGATTGGGTGCTGTGGTCCCAGGTTAGAAACGGTCCGGTAGGAGCGGTCCCTTGGCCGTACGCGCTCAGGACGGTTTCCTTGGCACCTCGGTACGGCGGGACCTTGAACAGCAGCAAGTATCAAAGAAGGGAAGAGAAGTCTAACACGGAGGGACGTGAGATCCCGTGAAGTCCTATTTACACTGCTCTGAGCTCCCTACAATCCCACCCTCCGGTCAGAAGGTTGGCTTGAAAAGCGGGTGACACAAAAACCACAAAGTGATGCACATCCCCAAGTCACAGCCTGTGCCGTGCGCTTGTGCGAGGCAGCAAAGCCGGACCTCTGAAAAAAAACAAAAAAAGGCGGCAGCTGGGAGAGAGGTGAGGGCAGGAGACTCTCCCACCACTGGAGTACAAAATGGGGCAAGAGGGGCAGAGGTGGGTGGGACAGATGGGAGTTTTGGGGAAGAAAAGTGGGTTTTTTGCATTTGAAAGTGCTCTGGCACCTCTGCTCTGTGTGAGCCAGATGCTGCGGCACGTGCATTTGGAGTATTGCTGCTTGGAGGAGAGTCCCCGGGGCTCTAGGAGCATGGGAGGTGCTGCTTGAGGATCTGTCTCGTCTGGGGAGCTATTCTGTCCGGGAAGCGGATTTTGAACTCCACGATCAAGTCTCCTCGCTGGCTGGGGGCCTTGGGGAAAGGCAGCCCCTCCCCGCGCAGTCTCTTCACTGTGCCCGGCTTGATGATGTCGTTGCAGGGCAGCGGGATCACCCTCCCGTCAATGGTGGGAATGTTCACGGTGCAGCCGCATAGGGCCTGAGGGGACAGGAAGGGAGACACACCATCAGCCGGCCCCGTAACTGCACCACGAGAGCCCTGAGCCTCCCACCCTGTGTTGCCGAGTCCCCATCCCTGCTCCTCCCCACGGCACCACCAATGACCAACAACAAGCGGCCTAAATTTAGCTCCTCGCCACCTGACTGGGGAGCCAGGACAGGGATAGGGGCAGCCGAAAACCCAGCTGAGCTCATCGGATGCCTCTGCGGTGCATCAGCTGTCGCTGCGCAGACCTGGGGTTATCTATAGCACAGCCCAGGGCACGTGGCACGGCACAGCCACGCGGCACAGCACCATGCTTTCCTGGAAGCTGGGGCCGCCATGGGTTATGGCATCGCGCCGCTGCCCCACGGCTATTTTTACACCTTGGTGACCCAAGAAGGAAGAGGCAGTGAGGCAGGACCTGAAAACGCAGGCCTGGGGAGTGTGACCCCAGTGGGCCCTGCATCCCTGCCACAGGGAGGTCTTTTCGTTCTCCATTCCCCCATGGCAAAGCCAAGAGGTGATTTTTAAGCTGCCATTCCCTCCCTGGAACTGGGTGCTGCCTACTGCAGAAACCGGCAGCAGCCGCAAACCAGCCTGCATGAGCAAGCCACGTGACGTGGGAATGCAGCAAGAAAATCCTTGTGTCCTTAAATAACTCAGACAGCTCTGCTGTATATGTGGGCAGCAGTGTCTCCAGGCTTTCAGCAAGGAGAGAGGCTGCAGAGCGATAATTCTGGAAGGGGAGGACTCCTAGGGCTGGTCCTGCCCTGCACACAAAGCACTTGTCCACCCCCATCCCCAAAAGACACCCAAAAGGAAGTAGGGAAGGATGCTCTGCAGCTGCATCCTCTGAAAAAGCTTCCAGAGCCATCACAAGAGGAGGCACCAGCAGGAACAGCTCTCCTGTCAGTCTCTGTGCTGCTGAGGCTCTGCAGCAAAGCCAACACAGCACCATCCATGCTGGGCCTGGATCTTGGGCTAAGGAGGTGGGAGGCTGCAGCCAGGTGTCAGGTTGAATATCAGGAAAAATTTCTCCCAGAGTGAGCGTTTGACATGGAAAGAGGGCAGGAGAAAAAGCGGCTGGGATGTTTGCATCCAACCCACAGAAGAGAATGGGGGGTTGATGGAGCAAAGCCCTGCCAGGCTCACACATGGGTGCTGCCCCCCAGCACGGTTCTTGCCCTGCAAAAGCTGTGGGATGGGAGCAGAAGCAGGTGGGAACAGCACATACAGACAGGATCTCAGTGTTTCCTTCTGAGAGCCAAGATGTAAGAGTTTGAGGCGATCACTCCTCCACCGTATGTTCCTATTTTTTATCCTTCTGGCCCAACTTTGCTGCCGTGTAAGAAAACTGGTTGTTCAGGCAACACAAGAGCCCATATTGGGGCGAGACGCAGTGAGCGCAGCCATGGGAGCTGCCCTGCATCCTAGAAAGTGTCTCAGTTTCTGCCTGGGTATGAAACCGGCGTGGGTTTGATGTCTGAGCTGTGAGCGCTGAGCTCTATCTGGGTCAGCAGCAGTCCCACTCTGCTTGTGGCAATGGGGGGGCTGCTGGTACTTCAGGGAAAGTGATGTCAGGTGAAGGATGTTGCGGGGTACTGCTGCTCCCATCTCCCTGAGAACCCAACAGTGCTGATAATCCTACTGGGAGGCTGACAGGGCTGTTAGTGTTGTCATTCCTCCCTCCCTTAGCCACCCACTGTAATTTTTGGAATGGACAGTTCCCTGCAGCCCACAAGGCTCTAGGGAAGCCTAGCTCCACTTCCTTCATCTGCAGCACCCATGCCCCAAGGAGCCACGCAGCTGCCCATCCTTGGCAACCCCTCACCATCACCTCTGCTTGACCTGGCACTGCTGGAGGCAGCTCTGGGGGTTGCAAGTCCCAACCACAGAGCCAGCAGACTGAGTTCACCCCTACTACAGTTTGGGAAGGAGACAAAAGAAGCAGGTGATGCTGCATCCCCAGTCCTCCTGCCCTCCCCATGTATCTGCACATGACTACAAGTGGGACTGCAGCTCCCAGCTCCTGCTGGCACCGTGCTGTGCTGCTCGCTCCAGCATTGAAGCTCAAAGCTCCAGCTAAAACAAGGCTCCTGCAAGGATGAAGCACGAGGACAGAACTAGAGGCTATAGCTGTAGGCTTAGATGAAGAGGTTGTGCTCTGATTTGCTCCATCACATACTGAGATGATGGCATATGGAGCTGGGGAGCTCCTGGCATCTGCTCACGTTTTGCAGCTCTTAAGCTGCTGCGACTCATGGAAGATGAAAGCAGTAGAGCACTGCCCTACCCTGGCAAGCATTGGGCTGAGGATGGCAGCCAGGCCAGCAGCTCCCCCACACGTCTGGTCTGCAGTGAGGCTGTGCAAAGAACAGGAAGCCCAGCTCAAAGAGATGAGGAATTTGCCCAGACCAGCGATTTCCAGCAGTCTCTCTTTGTGACTGCATCAAGCAAAGCAAATACCAACACATGCTCTGTTGACAGGAAGCTGGATGGAGACCACAGACATCTTGCAGGCAGGAGCCAGGCAGTTTCTCAGCTTGCTGCTCCAAAGGCAGAGCTGAGCACAGCTCTGTCCACCTGGACTAACAGGTCAGGCACTGACCAACAGCTTGGGGTTACTTTTAACAGATATGGGAATGCACAGAAGGAAGCAGCTGTGATATAGCATGCAGGATGCCATAAATGAGGCAGCCTCTCCCAAGTATTTCTAGAGAGGCCACTCGCCACAGGAATAACCTCTTTGTTTGAATCCGTTCTGCACCATGATGTAAAATCAGCTCCCATCCTACAGGTTAACATGAGATGAACTTGCTTCAGAGCACCCAGCTTAGCCTGCCCCACAGTGCTCCCTTGACCCCAGGACAGCCAGTGTCAGTCCGTGTCATCACAGAGCTCTCAGCTTGCTACCACGCTCAGCAGCTCACGTTTCCTTGCCTCAGGTCTGGCCCATTGAGCTTACTTCTATTAAATGCTACTGAATTTCGGAACATAAATCTGTCTTCAAAGAAAAAAAAAAAAAAAAAAAAAAGAGCTCATTAAGAAGACAGACAGCGTCTACAGTCTGAAAGGAACAGCAAATGGCAGCTGCCATAATCGTCAAAGTTAAATGCAGCTGCCAGCTGGGATTTATTAAAAAGCAGTTAGCAGCAGCAGCGAATGCACATCTTGAGCTGAGGTAAGCTCCCCTTCCTTTCCCACCTTCACCTGGTTTGCTGCTCTGGTGTGAGTCGCGCTGTGACCTCCAGGACTGATGGCAGGAATGTGCTGCATTTTGCTCACAGGCTGAATATTTTGTTTAATTTGCTCTGTATTTAGGGAAGGAAGAACCCCCCCAAAATTCAACTGTTTGGGCTGAAGCAGTTCTCAGCAAGAATGAGGCGTGACCCTGTCTTCTGACCAGGTGAAAAGGTACCATTGCCATGTGGGACAGCAGAGCCACAGCTGCGTGGCTGTGAGAACAGGTAGGCACCAGACTTATGTCAGAAAGCTTGGGTCCTCCCTTGTTCCTACAGAGCACCTGAGCTCTCTTCCATATACCCTACTCTGAAATAGAAGGGTTAAGGCATACGGGTAAGGGAGAAAATGGGTACATACCACCTGTGTTTGCTCCAGACGCGCTCAGCAGAGATCGCAGTACCCATGTTCTACACCCAGCACAGCAGTTGAGCAGCTCTCCAAAACTGAGCACTGGTCTCTCGTGCCCTACCTGGTCCCCCATCAGCACAGGATGAGGCCTGGCTCCCATCCTGGGTCATGTGGCACAGCCACGTGCCACCTCTCAGCCCGTGCCATTTCCTTCCCACCGACACTCACCTCTTTAAGACTGATGTTTGCGGTGTAGACCACATTCGTCCCATCCCTCTTGAAGTGCGAGTGAGGCTTGTCCTTGAGGATGAAGACGATGTCAGCAGGGATGTTGTCTGGGGTGGCGTCCCCTTCTTTGGGGAATGTGATTTTGGTTCCCTCCTTCCAACCCCGTTTGATGACAATGTTAAGGATCTTATCCTCAGTTCGCATGGTCCGGCCATCAGGATTGAGCCTTCTGCGGGTGATCTTCATCCTCTTGGTGGAGCCGTGGTAGATCTCTTCCAGGGACACCTTGAGCTCATGGATGACAGGCGGGTCTTGGACCTTCCTCCGTGTGTGCAGGGACTCCTGGTGCCGCCGGTGAACCCCATTAATGCCATTGAAGCCAAAACGGCCAAAGGCACTGAAAGGATCATCATCATCATCGATATCCATATCTTCCTGGTCAAAGCCATTGAACATCCGGGAGCGGCTGCTGGCGAAGAAGATATCGAAAGGGTTGGAGCCTCCAAAGAAAGACGCAAAAGTGGCGTGGGGGTCTCCATGGAACGTGTAGTGGAAAGTGTTCCCTGAGCCACCAGAGGAGCCACCTCCAGTCTTAAGACCTGGAAGAGAATGGGGAAGAGAAGACATGAATGTTCCCTGCCAGGAGAAAGCTGCTGAGACCCACGGCACCAGTACTCCTCGAGCAGCAGCATGATCTCCACAGGCCGGGGAGGCACCATCTCAACCCCTGCTTGTATTTTGCATGAAGCTGCATCAGAGCAGGGTCAGATTGGTTATTAGGAAAAGCTTTTTCAGCAGGGGGCGGTGGGCACAGAACAGGCTCTTCAGGGCAGCAGTCGCCACCCCAAGCCTTCCAGAACGCAGGAAGTGCTTGGACAATGCTCTCAGAGAGGGGATTTGAATTTTGGGTGTGGTCCTGTAAGGAGCCATGAGTTGGATGATCTATGTGTCCCTTCCAATTCGGGATATTCTGTGATTTTGTATCCAGCAAGCTCAAGGTCAAAAGCCCTTCTGGTCCCGTTCTTTCTGAAATGCTTGCTTGATTACCTCCTTTCATCCGATATATTTCATGACTAGCCCATATCCTTTTTTTCCCTGTTGGCAGGCTTCCTTCCATCCTGTTGTGCCTTCCAAGCCTGAACAAGTGAACCCTTCCAGTCCCATAGCACTACCTCATCACTTCTAAGTGTAACAGCAGCACTTCTTGCCAAACACCTTGCCCAGTCCAGAGAAAACTAGCCAAAGAAACCCTGTGCATTACAGGAGGCTAAGAATCCCACCATCTGCCACTGTGAGCAGGTGGAGCAGATTTGCCATGGCCAGTGCTCTGGCCATCATTTAGTCAACAATACTCAGTCAAGGCTCACACAAAACCCACCGTGGGTGAGTTATCTGCTACCCAAGGTGAACTACACTGACAGCTGTACCACAGGTAATCTCTAGAGGTCACACCAATAAGATGCCTCTGGGGGCCCATTTTTTGACCAGGGAAAGGTTAACACAAGCCAGACTCAAGAGCTATTTTCAGGGCATGCTGGTGATAGTAAAGGACTATTTCTGATGGGTTGCTGTTGTGCCAGTACCATCCTTACTGTTGGCAGCAGGAGGGGAAAAACACAGAGGGGACATGCTCTGACTGCGGAGCTTATCCTCCTGGGTGGAAGAGGACTTTTTCTTCTCCTCAGACTCTCCCTAGCTGGGATCTCCTTTGCCCAGTTGGGCTCTCAGCCTCCTCGTGGGGTCCACAGCTCCACAGGGGGCGAAAAGAGCAGCAACATTCCTCTCCTACCTCTCAGCTGTGCAAGTCTAGTTTTGAGAGCTTCACCTTTCCCTGGCATGGTTCCCAGGCTGGGGGCTGGGCTGTAGGGCAGGAGAAGCAAACCTCGCAAGCCCATCTCAATCCATGGGGCCCAGAAAACTCTCCAAACACTGACACCTGGATCACGTTACTGCAAGCTGTAGCTCAGTTATTGTCCCAGATGTGCAATGGGAGACAGTATTTCCCAACCCCAGGGATGGGTCACTCTCTCCCAACTGGAAGTGTCCTGGTGCATGACTATGGGCAGCAGAGACTGGGCTACTAACCAGGGAACTCTGGAAATAACTCAGTGGCTACCAGCCACAGGGAAATCCAAGCCCTGCCCTTGCACATGCAAAAAGCCCACAGATGCTCAGCAGCACAGAGCAGATGGGAGATGACTGAATGTGCTGGGGCCACCAGCACTGCTCACTGAAGGCACTTGGTGTTGCTGGTGCTTGAGCTCTGTGGAGCAGATGCTGGGATTTCTGCAGGCAACCCCATGTCCCCTAAGGGCTGAACCTGCTGCTGCTTCTGTTTTGGGTAACTCAATCCCTAATCTAGCTATGGGGCCAGGGACAACGAGGTACAATCAGTTCCAAGCCCCACTGCCATGAGGGGCTGTTCCCCCACAGCTATTTTCTTCTGCACTACTGAATTCACTCTTACTTCAGCAGCCCCTGCTGATGGACTCTGACCCTGGACTGTGCAACCAGAAGCTTTCACCTTTACACAGTTGCTTTAATTCCACGATGCCCATCAAAGGCAAAGGCAGGGTCTGATTTCAGCGGTGCCCCCAAGGAAATGCTACTTTCTCCCTGGAGAAAGCTGCTTCTAATTTTAAACAGCAGCAAATCACCGTGGCTCTGTGCATCCCCTGTGGCAGTGACACAAATAACAGGTTGAGTAATGCCTATAGGCAGCACACTGCCAGACAGAGATTTCCTGGAACTTCACCCAAGATTTGCTCAAATAAACCTAGAGGGATTTTCCCCAGGTCTGCTCTCACACCCTGACTGCTGACAACCTCTGGTCACTTCTTCACAGAGCTCCTCTGCTTTTCACTTAAGTTTCAGATACTTCTCATTCTCCAGCATCTTTCAGGAGTGCAAATAATTTCCATCGGTCAGCAGCAAAACTCTGTCCCCTCTCAAGTCTTGCCCCCTAAGATTGCACAGCACAGAGCCTGTTCTATGCCAGCTGGGCCAACAAAGGAATCTCTGCTGTCCCAAGAGCAGGTGCACCTGCTTGCAGGGCCCCCAGGAGGGGCTGCACCTTCCACAGAGCACAGTGGACCTGCTGCTCTTTTCAGCACCCAAGTCCCCGGCTGATTAATGCCGATGCTATTCAGTGCTCTCCTCACCCTCAGCAAATGGGGTTGCAGGCTTCCATATTCGACTAATAAGGCTGTGTGTGGTGGAGCTGCTCTCCTCCTCCATGCCAACCGGGAGACAACAGCAGCCGCTTGGTTTCAAAACAAAAAACCTATTACTTAAATTGGGAAAAGCTTTGAATCATGTAGGTCAGCCTGTCCCAGGGAGAAAAGTGGGGCTGGCAGCACGTGAACAGGGAACCTGTGGGGGACATCCAGGCAAAGAGAGCACTGCTGTGATGGAAATTTAGGTCGAGGAAAGGGTTGCTCTAGCACCGTCCCAGCACACAGGCTCCATTCTCCTCCATCACCTCAGCATTCAGCTTTTTGGGGCGGCACTGCCGAACACTAGGTGCCATCTCCTTGGCTGGGGAGCAGGGAAATGGGTCAGGGCGTTATTTCTGGCAGCAGAGCAAAGCGGGACTGGTGGAAAAGTGATTCTCCCACTTCAACTCCCACTTGGAGGTACTGCAAGTTGGGTGTTAGCACCCCATCTCACCCATACCAACCTCCTCAGGAGCCTGGGATGCCTCTGTGTCCCCCCCCCATCGTCCCCTTACCTTCCTCCCCATACTGGTCGTACACAGCTCGCTTTTTGGGGTCACTCAGCACGTCGTAAGCCTCCGCGATCTCCTTGAACTTCTCCTCGGCATTGGGGTCTTTATTCTTATCGGGGTGATACTTGAGGGCCATTTTCCGGTAGGCTTTCTTGATTTCATCCTCGTTGGCTCCAGACTGGATGCCCAAAATCTTGTAGTAGTCCTTTCCCATGACGGCGGTGACGTTGCCAGGCGCTGAGTACTTATTCCTGAAAGCAGAAAGATGGCACTCTGTAAGGTGAGCGCAGCACTGGGGGACAGCGGGAGGTGGGATCAGCACCCACTTATCACAGAGCACCCCGCATCGTACCATCCAGCAGCACCGCAGCCACCCCAACTCAAGTTTTCCTCCGAGGCGGGGCAGAGGCAAAGCACAGGGATGCTTTAATGCGGCACGGCCAGTGCTTCCCTTGGCTGCAGCTTCCCCTGCCCCATTGCCAAGGCAGGGACAGAAGGAGCCATCCCGCACGCTCCGCTCGCTGGACAGGGAGCACCACACGATGAGCAGGGTGCTTATAGGGGCGAGGACGTCACCGAGGCTGTTGTAGGCGTGACAGGCTAAATGCAGCCGTGCCCTCCCTCCCCCCACGGGGATCTGCAGCCCCATACCGGGCACCAACAGTGCTGGGGGAGCAGCGGGGACTGCGCTGCCGTGCTCACCTTAGAGGAACTTCAAACATTTTGTTCCTGAAAGCAATTGGCATTCAGCTGGAGATAAGTGCTTCCAGCATGTCAGAGCTGTAATTTGTATTTAGCGCAGAGGGAACGAAGCCGTTAGACAGAAACATCTTGCGATGGTGGGAGGCTTTTTTCTTAAAAAAATAAATTAAATAAAATGCTTTCTAGCCTGACTTGCACTCCCTTAGAGCCTCCATGTAACCACTGCAGCAAGCCAGAATTATTAAGTGTTATAAGAGATGGTGAAATGCCATCGCAGCCTGACACGATGCAGTGAGGTCAGCACAGGCAGCAGCTCCCTGCACTCACTTTCTCCATCATGTGGGAGGCTCAGGACCAAGCCATGCCTATACTAAGGCATTGAAAACCCAACAGCCATAGCCCAAGAAAAAGGGGCGGCAGTTAATTCACTCCACAGGCACGCTGAGGGCACAGTGAACCCGGCACGATCATGGAAACTTGGGGAGCAGCTCAATGAGTCACGAGGACACACTTCCCAAATAACATTTTCCATTGTCTTTTCCCATTCGCTTTCCCCACTGAAGGCTCCAATCCTCCCAAGCCAACCCACACCAGGTACCTCCTCCTTAGAATCCTAGAATCATTAGGGCTGGAAAAGACCACTAAGATCACCAAGTCTAACCCCAATCCACCATGCCCAGTGACCATATCCCTCAGTGCCACACCTCCACATTACTTGAACACCTCCAGGGACAGTGACTCTATCACCTCCCCAGGCAGCCTGTTCCAAAGCCTCACCACTCTTTCTGAAAAGAATTTTTTCCTGATATCCAACCTAATATCCTTGCTGTGCTCTCCCGCAGCCCTTGCTCTAGCCAATCCTCTGATCCTCAGTGTGTTTCACTAAGCACTTGTGCTCACTCCCACTCCCCTCTCTAGACCCATGCTCTAATGCCAGCCTAGCTCCTCCTGGGCAGCTCCAGCCTTCTGTGCCCCTTCAGCAGATGTTTCTGCATCAGCTGTCCATCTTCAGGGCCATCAGGCGTTCTCCTATCCTTGCTCCAACCAGATCCAGTGGAGGTCTTGGGGGTTACCCTTGTTATGCTAGAGCAGAGGAGGCTGCCAGCCTGCTGCCTGCTGCTGGACCACATCTGCAGGGCTGCACAATGACCCCGGCATCCATGGCAAAGGCTTGGATCCACTGGGTCCATCCACAGGGACATGGTTTATTGGGCATGGTGGTAATGGGTTGATGGTTGGAGTAGATGATCTTAGAGGTCTTTTTTCGACCTTAATGATTTTATGATTCTGCCTTCCTCCAAACCACCAGTTTTACCCCTTCTGCTCCAGCCCCACGTTACATAGCTTCAGGTCTGGAGGATGGGGCCAGACACCAGACTCTGCCCCATATGCCTGTGGGGCAGAATGGAGAGGCAGCACCGAGCTATTGTTAGAGACATGAGAAGGCCTCTGGGGGCGTAAAGAGCATCCTACAGCATCTTCAGATCCCAGCTTCTAAATGCCAGCACGTTTCTGTACCAGCACAGCCCTCCAGCTTCTGTGCTAAGAGCCGCTGAGCCCACACAGCCATTACGAGATGCTCTACCCCGTGCCCACCACCATCTGCATCTGCTCTATGACTCCCAGCAGGAACCTGTGACAAGGTGTGGGGGACGCAGTGGGTCCCCACAGGTGGTCCAAAAGGTTGTTTTGTGCCACGCCATAGAAACAAAGCACTACCACAGCCAAAGTCAGCCATTCCTTGCCCAGGGGTAGTGGCAGCCCAACGCACCCATCCAGCCCAGGACGCAGCCTCCACATGCACGGAAGCTCCTATCTGAGATACCCTAAGGAAAACGGGCCACCTGCAGCAAGATCAAACAGCAGCCTGCAGACAAACTGCTTCTATGCCCTGAACAGCAGACTTCACCCAAATTGGTGCTACCACAGACCCCACAGCGATTCCTACAACCTTACAGCAAACCCTGCCCAAACCTGCATGCACCACCAAGAGGTCTTCGGCTGGTAGGACGCGTGCCGGGCTCCAGCCCATCCCTGGGCACCACCGGTCCGTCTCCCAGCCCTTGGGATGGCGCACCCTGTGCCTCCCCCCCGCTCACCGCTGCTGCCGTGGGGTGCCCAGACGGTGACCCGCTGGGTCCAGGCACACTTTGGAGGCGAGCGTCACACGTGTGGTGGTAAAACACGACTCTGTCCCCGCACAGCCTCCCTCCCACCTCCCGACATCAGCTGTGCCAAGCACAGCCCCACTCTCCCCTTCTGCTCAATCATCCTTCGCTGCCTTCCCATTTAACCCTGTCGAGAGCAGGGGAAATTGCTGCTGAGATGGTGGGTGAGGAGCATTGTGATGGGCGAGGATTTCAGCATTTCAGATTTGCTTTCCGAGCCAGGACACCGCAGTGAAAGGTGCTGCCGCGCTCGGAAAAACACAAAGCAAAGCACTGCACAGATAACCCCGCTCCCCCCCTTAACAAAAAGGCAGCGAGACCTTTGTTCCAGCACCACACATGACATCAGATCGCCCAGCCCCAGGATGGGCAAGCGGCTGAATAGCAATCATTTGACGTAATCTCCCTGCTCCGCAGTCATGTAAGGGAACAAACCCACAATGAGAGCGGTCCCACTAAGATTTTCCATCCCAGACCATGAGGTCACAACGGGGCGATAAGCGGCGCCAGGGCACCGCGTGCGCTCGAACCACAGCGATTCTCACAAGACACACAGAGAGCCACTTACCGAAACTTCATAAACACATTCATGCTCCAAGCGCTCCTTCGTAAAGGCTCTAATTTTATTTTAAACATCACCTCAAGAACAGCGGGTGCAGCGAGGATGCGGGCGTCAGTGCCAGCGCGTCCTCAGCACGGGGCGAGCGCGACGTCCTTTGTGCGCTGCCATCCCCTCCCCGCCGCCGAAACCCATCAATGAAGGCGCTCGGCAGGCAGTGATTTTCCTCTCATTGGTTTCTGGCAGATTGCTGGTGCCGGGAGGCACAGAGCTCCCACATTAAGACATTTCCGCAGCAGGACTGCGTGCCCTGCCTGTATCCCAGCCCTCAGCCGCCCTTTCGCCGCCGCCGTCCCTGACCCCGGCTGAGGGCAGGGAGTCCCCGCGCTCTGCAGAATGAATGGTGCGCTCCCTCTGTCAGGCTGCTGCACCCACAAAGGGAGGGAGAAAAGTAGGACGGCATCGATGCGCGAGGCGGGGAAAAGTCGTGGAGAGCTTGGTCCCCCGGGGCCCCCTCCCCAGGCACAAGCAGAATGGGTTCAGTGGCTGCGGTCTCATTGGCAGCTGCAGCCCAAACGGCACAAAACCTCCTTCTGGGATCACCTTCATTGAGAAAAACCCGATGCCATCCCGTCCTCCCCCCTGAAGCCCACAATAACTTTGGAGCTGAGCATCCTTCCGCAGGTGCCCTGGGCACCGTGTCCCCATCTCAGGGATGAACCCCGCAGCCCCAAGGCTTGGGGTGGATGCATACCTCTCCGCGCGGCTCCAGAAAAGCAGGATGGCCGGCATGGCAGCACCGGGGCAGGCAGATGAAGCCCAAGTTTGGTCAGGCAGCACAAGGGGAGCGCGGCAGCGGGGCAGGCAGAGCCACCCGTGCCCGTGCTGGCTGCCAGTCGCAGAGAAGCAGCCAGCGATGTCATGAGTACACGCAATGAATCATCCCTTCCCCAGGCCCCCACACGCACCGCCCGCTTTCCCCCGCCCCACCGCCAGCCCCCCCCAACCCCCTCCCCAACCCAGCACCTGCGTGGGGATGGGGTGAGCCCGCCCCTGCATGTGTGGAGGGGGCTAATCATCCCCAGTGCTTCCATTGAAGGTCTCCCCAGTTTTTTCCAGCCCCAAGGAGATAATTTCATAGGAATGGGGCTGAGTCCCCTCCTCACCCCATTCCCAGCCTCATTAGCAGCCTCATCAGGATGGGGCTCCCCACTCTACCCAGCCCCACTGGGATGCCATCGGATTCAAGGAGATAGAGTTCAGCCCTCACTTTGCTCCCCACACAGGGTTCCCATCTGCGCTCCTGCTGGATGGTTCACCCTGAGTGGGCTCCCCACTCCCAGCCCATGTGTGGGGATGGGACTCATCTTCCCACATCGGGACCCCACTCCCTGTCCTGCTCTGGAGATGCCTGCATTTGGATGGAATTAACTCCCCATAGGGGCTCCCTTTGTGGCCCCATCAGAGCATCCATCCTTGAGTGGGGCTGGAGTAAAAAGCCCCCTCCACTCCCACAGAGGGTTCTCAGTTTCCACACTGGCACCAGGTAGGGATGGGGTGCAGCCTCCGCACCGCTCTCCCATTCGGTGACCCCATTTTCCACTGATGGGACTGCAGACCCCCCCTCCCCGCAGCCCCTCCATGACCCACGTGGAGCAGACTGCCCCCAGCCCACTGCGCTGTCCCTGAGCAGGGCGAGGTGACCCGACTGGGAATTGGGGCCGTGGGGTGGGTAGGAAAGACAGAGTTAACCCTTTGCCCTCCCCACACACTGTCACCTCGGCTGGGGACAGGGATTAACTCCTTCCTTGCAGGCTCCGTGTCAACACATTGCGATGCGGATGGGGGGGAGGAGGTTAGCCGTTCCCTCAACACCCGCTCCACTCCTCACGGGGGAGGTGGGGAGTTAGGGCGGGAGGTCACAAAATTACACTGTGGGGGTTGTTAACTCCCTCCTCGCCAGCATTTCGTGTTAAACCCTTCCCTGCCGCTCCCCGGATGCGCTGTGATTCGCAGCGAGGGGGGCACGAGCCCCTTCCTCCCACCCCCAGGGGGACATTGATGTCACACCCGCAGCGGGGCGGCGGCCCCCCCCCAAGGGGACACGCTGACACCCCACAGG